GGGGGGTATGGGGGGTATAGGGGTGATATATGGGGTATTGGGGAGGGTAATGAGGGTGTTGGGGGCGGTTTAAGGGTGTTGGGGGGGTGTATGGGGGTAAAGAGGGCCCCTATGGGGGTGTTGGTGGTGTTATTAGGGATTCTGGACCCCAAAAAAATATAGCCGATCGGTCGGTGGGTCGGCAGCCGACCAGTCAAGGGCCGCCAGCCGTCGGGGGGTGCAACCCTGATGCTAGCAGAATTGCAGTTGCCTGTCCTTCGGGGCATCCATTAAAATTGGAACAATACAGAGCAGATTAGCATGGCTCCTTCGCAAGGATGACATGCATAAATCCAGTAATAACCCGGGGGGACAGCACAGTGTGGTGCTGAAGCCAGCATCCAGGGACAGGAGTCTGGGAGTACGATGGTAAGGCTAACTTCAGCAGGCAGGGGTGAGGGATGGTACATCCTTCCCACGGGAAGAAATCAATGCCGCCCACTCGGGCCTCCCAAACATAATTGGGCAGAGCATTGGTCTGACTTGCCGGTGGAATAGGAACTGGAGTGACACTCCCCAAAATGGATACGCAGCCAGGGCCATAAGGTTGTGTTCCTTCCCCCCCGACCCCCCCCCCACCAAAAAAAAAAAGAATTGTAGTTGCCTGTCTTTGGTGCGATCTAACCTTTGAGGCTGCTCGTGTCGGCTTCACCCAGGTGCGCCTTGCATTCAATGCCCGACTGATTGCCGGTTCATCATCTTGAGTGGTAAGCCGAAAAAACTCCTCTGCACTGGCCGAGAAAGGCTCACTGAAAGTGACATGGCACAGGAGATGTGCACCCTGCAACTCGCGCCCTTTTCTGATTGCCAAGTCCAACTGATTATGCTGTTCCAGCAAAAATCAACGCCAACAAACGAACGGCAATCAGTTGCAGCAATTAGCATTGGGGCCTCGTTCCCCAAACAAAATAGTGTGGCTAAGCTTGCTGAAAGAGGTGCATCTGCAAAACACAGCATTTCAAAATCATTCTCCATCAAACAGACGAGGCATTGCCAGCACGACACAAACATCAGTCCAACGGTAAACAACGCAAGCAACCTGCCATCAGAGATGTATTAAACCACCAGTCACTTTCCCTGCTGTTTTGTCCTGGCTCGGCATCAGTTTTTCCCAATGGCAGGTACTGGTCACCTTTTCTTTCCACTTTTAGGCTCGGCAAAATGCATTTTTGGTTCGTCAGTTTAGCTTCCAATGAAGTGGAGATTGAAGCGCTGGACTATTTGTCAGGGGCCGTACTTCCAGCGCAAGATTAAAACCATTCTAATGGTGGACTATGCAAGTAACCTCTCGTAAGCGGGCATAGTCAGTGCGGGGCTACATGTTGTGGGGAGCACAAGCGAAGATGTAGTTCACCATAAGAGAAAGGTAAGCATGTACCCACCCGGGACAACAAAGTAAAGAAATGCATAAGGAATTTGCCAAACTCAGATCAATTTCATAAATCATCACTCCTACAGACACGACTTCCAGCATTGCACACTTGATTGGAATCTTCAAAGCAACTGAAATTGACACTACATGCCAGAATACCTGATGAAATACACCTCGGCGCCCACTACTGCTGCCACTCTTCCCCGCAATCTCGGCTCCTCCGTTCCCATCCTATCAAGATAACTTCACTAATTTGCCCCGTTCCCACTCTTTACATAACTTCACTAGTTTGGCCCTTTCCCACTCTTTACATCCCATCCC